AGGAGCTGGGGATGAGTTCTTGCTAGCTCTAGATACAACCATAGCATGGACAACAAATCACTGTAGGGCTCCTCACTGCCACCATGGCTGCCTCCACTCTTGGGCTTTATGGGGTGAAGGATGCAATTCAACCATCTTCGATGGAGTGAGCGCAGCCCAGGGAGGAAATTTACGTCGGGGCCAAAATTGGGACCGAAGGAGCATGGTTATTAATAGCCTTAACTCAAGAAACCCTTCCCCAGGCAGCAAGGCTGGCTCGGGAAATTAAGCTCCAGGCGGTGCTGGGCACTTTGCCGCTCAGGTAATGACCAGAGCTTTGGCCAGTTGCATCGCAGGGTTTTGTAAAACACTTGTCCAATTGACACGGTTTAACAGACTGCTGTTTATGAGACAGAGCAGTATTTAAGAGACACGTTTCTCTCAGAGCCGCACATAAAATTTGATAGCTAAATAGCTGTAAATGCTACTGAAGTCTGACAACTTGAAGAGGAATAGAAGGTCTGTCGTGCGGAGTATCCGCCAATACACCCGGCCCCGCGGAGCCAACGAGACTCCCACTCTCATAAAACCTTTTTTATATTGGAAGTGAGAATTTGTGCAGTGCATATGAACTCTCTTTTATTGGGCTGGTGTGATGCTGAGAAAATGCAGTTAAAGTTGTACGAGTCCTCCTTGGAGCGCTATCGGGGTGCCTATAAATCAAGAGCTTTATCCTGGAACGTGTTTACTAAATAAATCAGCTGTAATTCGGGCTCAGCTCGCGCCGCACGGCAGACGGAGGCAGTTTCACATTCTGCTGCAAGGCCCCCCTCCTTTTCCGGGTTTCACCCTCCTGTGATGGCCCTGGCGCCACGAGAGAGGCCTCCAAATGGGACCCCACAGCTGCTCTCCTGAGCCCAGCCAGCCCTCCAGTGCCTACGCAGATGCAGGGGCCTCCTGAGAGCATCCCATGCTGGGATGCAAGGACCACAAAACCAGCTTCGGTACCCGGTGGAAAGAGAGTATTTCTGAGCCTTCAGAGAGGCCTGGAGCACTTCAGTTGAGGAGGAAGGTTCAGGCCAGCTCCCTTATCCCCCAAAGACTCCTCAATCTCCACTCTACAGCTGCATTAATTATTTCATCTTAGTCTGGCTTCCTCGTTAAGCTAACCTAGACGTCCCGTGTCTGAGTGACAGAGAGCTAGGCTGAAAGAAACCAAGCCAGCAACGCAGGAAGCCATAGGCTTCATGTGATTTATACCGACTAACATTACATATATCTCAAACGTAATCTTTGGAGGACCTGAGCGAGCTGAGGAGAGCGGAAGGACAGAGGAAAGCTAGATGAGATCCCCCAAAGAGCCAGCAGCACCACATTCTGTCCAAGCCCGGATGTCGGGATCTCACCCCACGCTTGTCAAGATGGGTTGAGCCTCCCTGCAGCATCAATTGCCTCTGCCCTGCGTGCCAGGAAATGGGATTCCCATTGCACAGACAGGGACAGGAGGCGCAGGACATCTGCAGCTGCGTCTCCATTGAGGTCGCGGTGGGACTCGAGCCGCTTGGACCCGAAAGCAAAGAGCCTGAGCCCAAAGACCCAGAGTGACCTCCACAACACGACAGCCTCGTCCACCCGCTCTACGGATGTGGCGGTGAGTTAGGTAACTCTGACATTGAGCTTTCTCTAGGGATGCCCGGCATTCACAGGCTGTGAAACCTTTCTGGGGTGCTATGCAGATCCTCGCTTTCCAAAGCTGCAAACTCCAAAGCATTTGTATGAATCCACCGCCTTTTGTCTTCTCTGCAAGCAAGTGTATATAAAAGTGAGACTTCAGCCCCTTGGAAGTCTCCAGGGAAAATTCAAAGCGGTGAAGAAATATGTGTTGCTTTTCCATGAACCCATCAAAAAAAGAGAAAAAAAAAAAACCCTGAAAACCCCCACATTACTTTTCAGCCCATTTCTGCCAGCAGTACAGGTCCTTTTCCCACAGTCTAAGGAATCAACACATTTTCAAATCACTCCTGCTTATGGTATTGAATATCAGAAAACGATTGCTTTTCATTCAGCAGCTGTTTCAGGACACCGGGGGAAAGGGAAGGCACTCTAAACTTAGCAGAACACGAGGAAGGCATTTGAAAAGACTTGAAGTCTTTTTCCTTCTTAGGAAGTCAAGTCTTAGAAGGAAAATCTATGGGTCTCAAAAGGGTGGATGTAAAGTATTTGGTGGGTGAGCTGGCTGCTGGAGGGGTGCAGGGGGCTTTGGAGCAAGTTGGATGTGAGGAGCCAGGACTGGAAGGGAGGGAGGCCACAACGGTGAGTGGGACAGGGAACCTCTTGCAGGTCCTTCATGTGCCACTCGCCAAAAATCCCTTCCCAGCCGCACTGCGGAGCTGCTGGGGCCATCGGCTGAGGAAGACATTGAGGTGGGGAGCTGAAACCTGGAGAAGGAGAAATGAGTCTCTCTGGGAAAACCAGCCTGGCCTGGATACCACTGCCTGGCAAATGCGCTCCAAGGGCTTCTGCTCATGGCTCCTTGCTGGCCATGACAACAGCTCTTGGGCTGAGCTACAAGATTAATTAAGTTCTTTTACCTGTTTTCAATGTTGCAATGGTTTTCTCATGCTTTTTCATGGGCAATCAGCATGGAACAACCCAAGACCCGTCCAGGGTGACCTGTGGCCCCGAGCAGCCGTCCTCCCCATGGGGACAGCACGGGAGGCGCACGCAGAATGAGGCAACGCGTTCTCCAGAACAGCTCTCTTGGCTTGTCCAAGCTCCCCCCCGCGCCGGCTCTGCAACTCATCTTGGATCCCGTCAGCCTTCCACAGCCTGGATCTCCGTCTGCAGCACAGGGACTATCACGGTGCTGCTGAACTCCTCTAGCTCCGGCTTCTTGGAAAAATGCGTGGATGTGTAGACGGGGAGGGAAGGAGATCTGCACTCTGCACCCCAGTCCTGGCTTCCTCTCATGCAAGCCTGAATCTCATGGGCATAGGGATGTGGCAGCCCCATGTCAAGGCTTTCTGGGGAATGTACCCCATCCCATGCACCCCCTTAGTGGTTCCTTCAGGGCCCATCCATTTCCCGGGAAAACGAGCAGCAGCGCAGCAAGCGCCTTTGTGCCACCAGGTGAGCGAGAAGCCGCGACTGCTGGGCTCCTAACAGAGACGAACGGCCTCTCTCCTTCCTCCCAGATTGCGAGCAGATGTGCGCTTAAATTACCTGCTGCTGACTGCGACTGGCCCAGCAAAGCGCCCTGTTCGAGGCGCAGAACGAGGGAAAATGTGTGAAACGAAGGAGGGGAGGATTAGCAGGAATTCGGCAGGATTTGGAAGGGCAAAGTGTGGCCACAGCAGAGAGCAAATGTCGCTTCCTCTGCGCAACGGGGCTCCCCCGCGAG